AGCAGAACATATCAGAGACTGACTCCTTCTAAGCTCCAGAGTAGAGAGTAGCCTTGGTGCAGTAGTAAGTGCTGCATAAATATGTATTGATGAGTGCTGTAAGTGTCATCCAGGGAGGATGGATTAGCTTCATTCATCCTAAGGCCCTCTGCTGTCCGCCATGAACTTTTACCACTTGACTTGCTTGAAAGCAATGGTCCTCTCTTAAAGGAGTCGGGGTTTGTTCTGTCCACTTGCTGCCACTTTTTCCTATCATCCTGTGCTGCTTACTCTGACCACCACTGCCCCCGCCTCCTTGTGTCCATTACCCTCCTCTCCCTGCCATGCCCTGTGATCTGGGAAGCCCCTCTGTTGTTTCTGAAGCCCGCTTGCCTGCATCCCAGCATGCCTTCCATGGGCTTCAGATTGAATTTCATCATCTGGAGGCAACAGCAGGTGCTTGGAGGGCAGAGGTATTTCTCCTTCACCCCCTGCTTCTCTGCCTGACTGGCCCTCCAGCAGCCTGTCTCCAAGGTACCTGTCACCCTAGACTTTAAAGCATTGTGACCCCCCCAACAGGTCAGTGACAGCGCCCACTAGTGCTGCTATGAACATCATCTCCCTGTTTCCATAACAACCACTCCCTGAAAGTGCTGTGAAAGACTCCTGAAAGACTGCTTTGGAACTATGAGTCCTGAAATCTGTGTCCCCGAGTGACCCCGAAATATGTAGCTCCTCTTTTCACACATGGGTGAAAGGTACGCAGGTCAAGGGCCCTGGATTAAAGACAGAGCAATGTCACTTAAAAGATTGAGAAAGCTTGAGACTAGACTGAATTAGTGAAAAACCCTTTGCTTAAAAATATATAGATTTACATCTAATGCCCAATAAATTACTTAATTTAAACTTACATCAAAGTTTCCATACTATATCTTTATTTTTAATTATGACATTTAAACAAGTAATTTGTTTTAAGATGTGTCTTAAAGACTGAAATGCAATGCTTTTGTTCCTTTATTTGACATTATTTGTCAAATAATTTGAGTACCTATTGTGTAAGAATTTTTTTCTGGAACAATTCCCGGAAATTTTACATAATTTCCCCTTATTTTCCCTTACTCTGCCTTATTTTATAGGTCACACCTCATGCTTCTATTAACACTTCAAGGAAAAATATATGAAAAAGAAAAACATGTTTTCTCATCTCTCAGGGAAAGGATTTGTGGTTGGAAAGTAAGAAGACCCTGCTCAGATTCCAAACGTCAGTGTTTTTAATTCTGTAATTGTACAGTATTTATGCTTTATGGGCGTGGTAATGTTGAAAATGCTGGTATATATTTTTAAAAAGACTCTTCTATCGAATCTGGTTTTACTCCCTCAAAGTACAGGAATCCAGAACACATTCTTCCTCAGTTGTAGCAATGATATTCCTACCTTTCCAGAATATTTTTCTTCACTTGAGTTCTTCAGATCTCTACCACCTGCTTTTTCCTTACTGTCCTCATGTCATTCCCCTTAACCATTGCCTTGACTTTTTATCCACTTGTAACTTTCTATTACCAAATTTATTTTCAGCTTTCTGAAAGAAATTAAAACATCTTTCTTGTTACCTTCTAGAACATCTCTTTGGATCAAATTACCCTGTAGAAGAGCAGAAAGCTTGTCTAGTGGGTCCTCAAAAATTAAACAGAAATACCATGGTCCAGCAATCCCACTTCTGAATATATACACAAAGGAATTGAAAGCAGGGTCTTACCACAGGAGAATTAAGCCAGGAATTAACTATAAACAAGTAAGGGAAAAATTCTTAAAAACAATACCATTTTCTTTTTCTTTCATCTTGTAGCATTCATTTTCCCTCTACTTATATTTTTTATTATTTTGTAATTTTATGTATTTTTTAACATCATTTTTCATTTTTGCACAATGTAAGCATTTTCATCTTGGTTATAGTCCCCATACAATTCCCACCCCCCTTGTTTTGATCCTACTCCCTCCCATGTGTCTCTGGTTTATAGGTGCTTCTTGATTTTGATTTTTACTTTATTAGAATTAGTCTTTTTCCTGGTCCCTTATTTAGGTTTCCTTAATTCCTGCTATGAGTAAGACCATCTGGTATTTTTCTTTTTCTTTCTGGCTTATTTTGCTGAGCATGATCCTTTTCAGCTCCATCCATGTTGCTGCAAATTGCATGAGTTTATCTTTTTGGATTGCTGAGTAATATTCCAGTAATATTCTACATCTTCTTGATCCAGTCATCTATTTGTGGGCATTTGGGTTGTTTCTGGAGCTTAGCTATTGTAAGTAGTGCTGCTGTAAACATAGGGGTGCAGGTGCCCTTTTGAATTAATGTTTCTGTGTCCTTTAGAGTGGAATTGCTGGATCATATGGAAGCTCCATCTTCAGCAGATTGAGGGATCTCCACACAGCTCGCCATAGTAGTTGGACCAGTTTGCACTCCCACTAGCTGTGCAGGAGAGTTCCTTTTTCTCCACATCCTCACCAATATTTGTTGTTGCTAGTTCTTTTAAAATGTGCTGTAAAATGGTATCTCATTGGCTGTAAATGGCTGTAAAATGTGCTGTAAAATGGCTGTAAAATGTGCTGTAAAATGGTATCTCACTGGTGTAAAATGGTATCTCATTGGCAATACAATTTTCTAAGTGATGATCTTAGTATCAAAGATGGAAATAAAGAAAGCAAATAAAAGTATATTTTGAATTGAATGATAAGAAGAACATCAAAATTTGTGAGATGCAGAGTAGCACTTAGAAATTTAAATGCATTTATTGGAAGACTGAAAAATTAGTGATCTAAGTATCCATCTCAAAATCTCAAGTCATAAACACTAACAAAACCTAAAGAAAAGTAGAAAAGCAGAAGTAATATAAAACAGAATTATTGTAGATGATAACCATAAATGGGAAGAAAATCAACAACAAAAATATGACTGTGAAAACAACAGTGAAACTGAGTTTTCGTGCAGGGGTTAGCAGTGACAGCTCAAGGGTCAAATCCAGCCCAATACCTGCTTTTGTGTGGGACACAAGCTAGGAATGGTTTTTATGTTTTTAAATATTTGGGGGAAATTCAAAACAAGATTATTTTGTGACGTAAAATTAAAACTTCAGTCTCCATAAATAGTTTTTTTGGCATATAGCAATGCTCATGTATCTATGTGTAATATATAGCTGCTTTCAAAACACAATAGCAAAGTTGAATAATCATAACAAATACTATTTGCCTTGTAAAGTGTGAAATATTTTCTATCTGTATTTTTACTGAAAATGTTCTGACCCCTGACATATAGCAATGCTTAGGCATATAACATATAATTTTTACAAATGCCTGCTGATTAAAAATTTGTAAGGATGAATAAACAGGCAACCAATCAACTTATGGACTTTAAAACCCCACCTTGTTAGGACAGTTAACAGGTCACATCAAAATTATTTACTCTAAAAATTATTTACTCTAAAATTATTTACTCTAAAATGGTCACCTTTACAGAAAAAAAAACTTGGAGAACCTTTCTACAGTATCAGCAAAGAGAAAGAAACAGAGAATAAGATATATATTCTATCTATCAATCAATCAAGAAAGTGTTATTTCTCTAAATTCTTACAACATACGGAATGTCAACCAATAAATGTAAAATAGGAAGTCAAATTTCAAAACACTCATAGAAGTAATTTACTCAGGCAATAGTCTAAGGATGCTAAAACTAGTAGGTGATAATGGTGGGTATCAAAGTTTTTGTCCATGAACTTACTCATTACAAAGGAAAAATATTTTACAGGCAAGAAATCTGGTGGGAGGCATTTTAACCAAGTGATAAAAGTTACTACACTACTGACATATACCAAGATGTACATCTTCTTACGTGATACATTGGAAAGAAAATAGCACCATTTACATGGTATTTCCGGAGTAATGCATAACTGAATCAAATCATGAAGAAATTATCAGGGGAAATAGATCGAAAAGTTATCTACAAGATAAATAGTCTGCCCCCCTTCAAAATATTAGTACAAAGAAGGGCTGGGAAATCACTCCAGATTAAAGGTGACTAGAGCGATAGAAAAACTAAATGTAATGTGTGATCCTGCCATGAACCATGGATCAAAGAGAAATGTATGTACAGGTTATTATTGAGATAATTGGTAGAATTTGAATCCAGTCTTTTGATCTGATACGACTAATATCAACGATTAATTTCCTAATGTTGATCACTATTCTGGTGGCAGGAAATGGATGGTCTTGCAGCTAACGGTAAAGGTAAGAGCATGGTATCTGTGATTTCCTATTAGATGATTCAGGAGAAAATCTTTTATATATGTAGATAGGACAAGGGGCATGTAAAGAGAATAAAACAAATGTGCCATAACAATTGGTGAACCTCAGTGAAGAGTATATGAAAGTACTTTGCATTATTATTGCCACTTCTCAGTAAGTGTGAAATTGCTCCATAATGAAAGGTTTTAAAAGGGCATCAAAGATTTCCTGTGAAAGCATGACATGTTTATGCTTCTGGAGAGTCTGTATCTGATTCTGACTTGTGAACATGCTCTTCGAAAAGAGTCAGGAACATGGATTTCCGTTTACCTTTCTATAAATATAAGGGAATATTGTGTCATATTCCCTCTCTCTTCTAAATGAGATTTAAATTCCAATAGCAAAGTTAAAGATCTTGAATCAAGTGAGACAGACTTTTCCTATTAGTTTGAGTATGAGAGAACGAAAAATTGAGTAAAAAACAACAGCGTTTGCTTCATTAACAATGAATGTTGCTCTTTCTGCAGTTTTTAAATTTGTAGGAGAAAAAAACCTACAAATCATTAATGGACACTTCTCTGAAACTGAAATGAAAATATATTTACTACATTAAAAAGTAAGGCTTATTCATAGTGGTTAAGATAGATGAATATGATCATGGTGAGAAATGCAGAGACAAAAAAAATCATTTAAAGGGATGAAGAACATCACGCATATAATTTCACAAGAAATTATTGTAATTCAGCTTTTATTTTTATGTTGCTTAATTTTATATACATTACACATATCATATACATATACCTATAATACAAAAATCTATACAAAAATCCCAATAATTTAATATCTAGAAAAGAGAGAGGGAGATACTGCATTTGATTTCTGGTACTATTTTGTTTAAATACTTTTTAAATTCAGATTTCAATGAGACAACAAATTGAAAACCATTAATTTTTCGGAAAACTTGTTCACATAAGTTCATCATTCAAGTATGTTTTTATTGAAACAATAAACCATTTGACTGGTTGCAAAGTCAAACTGAGTAAGACACAATATTGAGCAAAGGCAGAACTTTTGCTTAGCTCATCAGCCTAGAATCAGTTTCTAACATATGAATGCAGAGCACGACAGTGATTTAACCTTACACTCTTAAAAGCCAAATTGTAGGGCTGATAATGTACAGCAAGCACACCCTATATTGTTTGTAGACTCTCATTAAAAATATAATACTAAAAATATTAATCAGAAATTTTACATTTCCTAATTTTGTTTTTATTCAATTTGAAAAACAGTACATCTTCTTTGTGCTTGGCAACTGGACATCATACCTGAAGTCATAATTTAAACATCCAATGGACAAAATATATACAAAAACCTCTAAAAGATCTTGATATTGTTTAATTTGGTTAAAATCTTCGTTCTACAGTTATCAACCACAGTAGATATAAAGATCATAAAATAATAATCCCCAACATATCATTAACATGTTTTTAAAAAGTTAATAACTGATGAGGCACAAAAAAAATATTATGTGATTTGCCCAAGATAAAGAAAGGAGTTAGGGGAGATTTTTTAAAAAAGCATTATTTTCTAACTTAAGCATCAATCAGTACTAGACCCTAGGTTACACATCTCACAAAATTAGTTGAGTACAACAGATACAGAAACTAGATGCATTACTTAGAAATGTTTAACTTAAATTCCTATTATTACTAACCTTATTGTTAGGAATCAATATGTTCATTATACATTATTAGGAATTTATAAAAAGAAACATGATCATTTTCTGAATTATTAGGCATGTAATGAGTTGTTTAAATCTGATACAATTGATTATAAAAGCAAAATTGACAATACAATTTTAAACAAATTCAGCAAAAGATGTCTATTAGCATGATTTTAAAAAATGCTTATTATAGAACCACAAAATTTAGAAGACAGTACTACAGAGACAAACATATCGATATAAATGTATTAAGTCATCTTCTGGTGGATCTTTTGTTTTTTATGAAAACGTTCTAACAGAGCACTCATAATGTTTCCTGGTATTCTTTGGTGCGTATCTATCAAAGCTTGAACAGCATTCTTTGTCTATTAAGAAAACAAAAGAAAAGCCAATATTCTTTTAGTTCTCAATACATATCATTTTACTTTGTAAAGATTTTTATACAGTACTACTTTCAAGAAGTCTTCCCCAAATTAGCACCCATATCTCCTCAAAATTAATGGCTTCCTTCACCGTACACCATAGCATTTTCTTACACTTACTATATTTGCATTATTATCTCACGACCATTTTCAACACTAGGTTGTAAGATATACTTCAATACTTTAATGATACTGAGTACAATATCCTGTATACAGTAAACACTCAAAAGGGGAAAAAAAACACACACACAGAAGAAAAAACATAGTGCGCAAATGCAAGTTTCACTGCTTTCTAGTAACTAGTAAGTATGTGCATTTTTTCTTTCATCATTGTACACATGAAACAATTACATGAGGCAACGCAACAGGAAAAAGTGAGGAAAGTTATGAATGAGCTGACATACTTTTTAGTTTATTGTCTCAATTTCCAGACATTTTAATTAAGTCATAGCAAGGAAGTCAATTGGGATATATCAAGAAATCTTCTAAAACTGTTTCCCATTAAATTCTTGACAAATTTCAAGTTTTTATATTTAAATCAGTTTGTGGTATCTAGCTATTTCATTTAAGTATATACATAGTACGTATATGTACATTCACGTACACTTTGTTTCAGATGACAACCTTTCAGAAAGTCTTCTTTTTACAAATCTTGGACCTTCATCTCTCTTTTTTTTTTTAAAGATTTATTTATTTATTCATACAAGCGTGGGAGGGTGAGAGAATTCACCAAAGCCAGAGCGGGGAACAGAATAGGCAGAGGGACCGAGCTACACTGCTGAGGGGAGCAGCGGGCAGCAGGAGAGGTCTGAGCGCCATGTGGAACCCTCACCGGCGGCCAGGGATTGAACCGACGCTGCAGAGGCTGCAGGCAGCCTCGCAGCCCAGTGCTCAACCGCTGCGCCACCAGGGGAGGCCCCTCTTTTTTTTTTAAGATTTATTTATTTATGCATATAAGAGCTGGGGTACAGGCCAGAGATGAGGGGGGTGAGAGGATCCACCAGAGACAGAGTGAGGAACAGAACAAGCAGACTGAACGAAACACACTGCCGAGGGGAGCAGCAGGCGAGTCAGGAGAGGCCTGCCTCGCCATGTGTGTTTCTCTCTGGCCGGCCCAGGGATCGAACCCATGCTTTAGAGGCTGTGGATTGCCTCATAATGCGATGCTTAACCCCTTGCGCCACCAGGAAGGCCCCTTTCATTTCTTTTTAAGTGAAATTAATAAACACGAATAAAAAGATTGAAGCCAAGTCCTCGGGTAATTGGCACAATGACTACTACCACATAGGTAGTGCACTACACAGTATATATTTTAAAATTTTATTATTAATTCAGGAAGCGTAAGATGCTTTGGAAGCTGTAATAGTGATATAGCCTCTAACTTCAAAAAGCTCATAATTTGCTAAGCATAATTAAGTACAAAGTAATTAAAATATATAAGATAATGTGAGAGATGTGTCGTCCAACATGTGAAAAAGGATATCTGGAAGTTCAAAATTCACAAACCAGAAATATTTCAGTAACAGTGAAGGACGAAGCACAACAAAAAAAGACCACAGGAAAACAACTGTTTAAGGAATGGCAAGTTAGTGAGAGATGGCTGGGGTTTCAAGTATGTTTTCAAAAGCTAAATGGTATGTTTTAAACTTAGATTTCAACTCAATCATAAAGGGAGTTAAATATCAAGTGTATGAATTGAGGTATCAATGAAGAATTTTCAGGGGAATATCAGGGATAGGTATTAAGAAAAATACAAGTCTTGCAAAGATTACCAATGACCCCCCTTTTACCAATAAATCCAATGGACAGTCTTTTTATCTCAGTCATCATTGATGATTCTTCTGGAGCCCTCATAGGCACACCAGAAAAAAAACTAGGTTTTTCTCCAGCTTTCAAACTGCTCCCTTTCAATCTCCTTTGAATCTCAAAATCAGGCACTAACTTACTCTTTAACATTTCAATAACCTGACCTATATATTTAATTGCCACCTATTTGCTGATCACTCCCAAATTTATATCTCTCCAGTCCCCAGTTTCAGATAGGAATGTACAGTATGACTTCCTGAAAATGTTTGAAAGGCACCTCTAACTTAAGACTTCTTAATCCTAAACTACCATCCTATCCCCCATACTTTCTCCTTTCATGACTTCACTTTTTTCAGCAAATGACACTACCATGTATGTAGCCAAGTCAATCCAAACCTAGAAGGCAACCTTAACATTTTCTGCTTCTCATTCACAATAGTCATTCATCGTTGGTCCAGTTTCATCTCTCCAATATCACTCACTCAAATCTATCTCTTCTCTCCATTTTCTTTCCACCTTAATAATACATGTATATATGATACACGTGTGTATATAAATTTGTATTTATATGTGTATTTGTGTATGAGAATGTCAAGAGGCAGAGAGAGAGAGAAATTGCAAGCAAGGAAAAAGAAGAGATTAAGACTGATAAAACTTTAAGGAAATATCCCAAGTAAGTGTCCTCTTCAGTAGATAATATTTTCATTTAGATTTAGATTATTTACAAACTGCTCTTTTGCACAAATGCCCGAACAGTCTGTCATCCATTTTTTAATTTGTTATCCCATCCCCTTTGATCCTTTCTCCTTCCTTCTCCCCCCTAACCTCACTTCATTTATAAGTGTCCAGTAGTTTTTAAACTTTTATATTAATTAAAATTTGTTTCTTATATTGTTGTAGTCCCCATAGTTCTTCTGTCACCACATCATCAGTGAACCATCCCCACATTCCCTTGTGTTAATCCCTCTCTTGTTTTGTCCCTTCCATCCTGTCCCCTCCTCTACTGTGTGCCTCAGTTCTATGGTCAGCTTGCTAGTTTTGTCTTTTTCTTGCCCTTTTGTTTGGTTTCTTTATATTCCACATATAAGTGAGACCATCGGTATTATCTGCTAGCATAATCCCTTCCAACTCCATCCACATTGCCGCAAATGGCCTGAATTTGTCTTTTTTGATCACTAAGTAATATTCCATTTATAAATATACCACAATGTTTTGATGAAGCTGTCTATTTTGAGGCATTGGGGTTGTTTCAATATTTAGTTTTTATTAAATATTTTTCTTTATCAAATCTCTTGCTGTATAAACATTCATTATTTGTTTTTGTCATTCTGACTTGCTTTAGTACACACAATTCCTCAAACTTTGCTATAAACGGCAACATTTCATCTTTCCTTATGACTGAATATTACTCCATTGTGTGGCTATACCACCTCTTTTTTAATCCGATCCTATATTAGTGGGCACATAAGCTGTTTCAATGTTTCAGTTATTACAAATAATGCTACATAAACACTGTAGAGCATATAATTTTTTGAGTTGATGGTTTCATATCCTTTGGACAGATGCCCAAAAAATAGCAACACTGGGTCATATGGTATTTCTATTCTTGATTTTTTAAGACTGCTTTCTAAAACGGCTACACTAGTTTACATTTCCCCCAATATAACAGGATTCCTGTTTCGCCACATCCTCTCTAGCATTTGTTTTTGGAAATATCATTTTAACATGTGCCATTCTCAGAGGTGTGAAATGATACTCATTGTGGTTTTGATATGCATCTCCCTTATTAAAAGCAACAATGAACATTTTTCCATGTATCTAATGACCTTCTGGGTATCCTTTTTAGTGAAATGTCTGTTTAGACATCCTGCCCATTAATTATATGTGCTTTCTTTTTTTCGTTAAATTGAATAAATTTATTTTACATATCTTGGATGTAGCCCATTTTTGGATGTTTAATGTGTCAATATTTTCTCTGACTCAGTACAATATCTTTTCAACAGACATGTATTTTCTCTCTGTGTAAAACCTTTTTAATTTGAGGTAATCCTTTTTGCTTTTATTTCCACTGCCATTGGGATTGAGTCTCCAAAAACATCTTTATCACTAATGTCAAGAAATATATCAATGTTTCCTTCTGTTTATTTTCCTTTGCAGTTCTTATATCTAAGTATTTAATCCATTTTGAATTTATTTCTATACATGGAGTTAGAAAATGATCCAACTTCATTCTTTCACATATTACTGCCCAGATTTCCCAACACCATTTGTTGACGAAACTCTCCTTTCTCCATTGCATGATTGTGGCTTACGTAACAGATTACATAACAGATATGTGTGTGGATTTACTTCTGGGTTTTCAATTCTATTCCACTGATCCTCGCGGCTGGCTTTTTATTCTAATATCATATCAGGTAACATGACACCTACATTTCTCCTTTATTCTCAGTATTGTTTTAGCTATTCTAGGCCTTTTATGGTCCTATAAAAATTGAATTTTTTTGCTATATTTCTCTGAAGAATATCATTGGCATTATAATGGAATTCCATTAAATGTATTTATAGCTTTTGGTAGAAAGGTTGTCTTGACTATAATTCTTCTCATCTTTGAATATGGACTGTCTTTCCAACCCTCTAAATCATACTCTATCTATATCCTTTAGTAGTCTTGTAGTTTTCATTGTACGAGTCCTTCACCTCCTTGGCTAGGTTAATTCTTAGGCATTTAATTCTTTTTTAAAATTTATTTATTTATATATAATTTACATCATTATTCATTTTTAAACAATGTTTGCTTCCCCCCCTCAGGTGTAGTCCCCACAGAATTTCCTCCACCAATTCACCAGTGCACCATCACCACAGTCCCCTGTGCTCCTCTCTCACTCCCTCCTTCCAATTCCTCTCCCTCCCCCTCCCCTGCAGGATGTCTCTGGCTTATAATTGTCTGTTTTTGTTTTGTTGTGTTGTGTTTTGTATTGTTATCTCCCCCTCTTCCCGCCACTGTGTCTTATTTGGTTCCCCTATATTCCTCCTATAAGTGAAACAATCCAATATTTTTCTTTTTCCTGCTGACTTATTTCACTGAGCATAATCCTTCCACCTCCATTTTGCTGCAAATGTCATTAGTTTATCTTTTTTGATTGCTGAATAGTATTCCATTCTAATTACTGCAACTGTGAATGGAATTATTTTCTTAATTTCTTTTTCTTATTGTTCATTATTTGTCCATAAAAAAATGCAGCAAATATGTGTATGTTGATTTTGTAACCTGTCACTTTACTATATTCATTTATTATTTCCAATAGCTTTTTGATGTAGTCTTTAGGATTTTCTATACATAACATCATCATAATCTATAAATAATGAGTTTCAATTTCTTCTTTTCCAATCTGAATTCCTTTTATTTCCTATTCTTGCCTAATAGCTCTAGTTAAAATCTCTAATACCAAATTAAATTGAATTTGTCACCCATTTTTCAAATATGGTTTCATTTCTACATTAATTTGGATGCTAGTAACTTTGAATTTGTGAAAATTTAGGGATCATTATACTATAGGATCTAACGTGGTATCTAAAGTAGTCAAACTCACTTAGAGAAAAAGTAGAAGGGTGGTTACAGCATTTATGGAGAGGCAGAACTGCAGAGTTAGTGTATGATTTCACTTATATGTAGAGTCTAAAAAAGCAGAAATCATAGAAACAGAATAGAATGGTGTTTGGCAGGAACTGGGCAAGGCAGGAATGGGAAGATGTTGGTAAAGAGCACAATCTTCCAATTACAACAAGAGTAATTTCTGAGGATATAATGTAGAGCATAGTGATAATAGGTAACACCTCCTCATGACATGTTTGAAAGTGCTGAGAGAGTAGATCTTAAATACTGTCACTGAACACACAGAAAATGTGGTAATTATGTCAGGGATGGAACTATTAACTAACTTATTGTGGCAATCATTCTGTAATACACATGTATCAATCTTGCCACTGTACATCTTAAATTTATACAATGTTATATGTCACTCATATCTTCATAAAACTGGAAAAATTGGAATATTGTGCACCCATAAAAGAACCAGAGTAAGGTATTGATAGGAAAAAAAAAAAAAAAGAAATAGGGAGTTGGTGTTTAGTGGTTTGAGAGATTCAGTTTTGCAAGATGAAAAAGTTAAGAAATCTATTATACTACAGAACAATGTACATTGTTTAACACTACCAAACTAAAAACTTAAAAATGGGTAAGTTGATCATTTCTATTTTTTAAAAAACCTCTACAGCCGACTTCTTTCCCACGAATTTACTTGGTTTCCTACCTCTCTCCCACTCCCTTTCATTCAACTTTGATTCTTCCTTGACCTTCCTATTTAAATGTTACATCTCTTACACCCTCTTCAGTTCTCTTTCTCTCTCTAACCTGTCTTGTAAAGGCAATGGCTTCAACAACTGTCTCAATACAATTTCTAAATCTTCAGCATCAATTTGACTACTCTCCCAAACTCATGTACAATATTCCAAAAATTACCTACATAAACATAGATCTAGATATCCTCCAGGCAAATATTCAGAATTAGTGAGTAATCTGGCTCTATAAAATCTCACAAATCTGTACTTTGTCTCCATATTCAAGTAAATATGGAAAGAGTTATTTAATTCATTCATTCACTGAACATTTATTGATCTGTACTTAAATATCCAACACTGTGTTAGGAATTGGAAGAATGCACTTTTTTTTATATGTATCTAAGCAATGACAATTGCTACAATCACCTTTACAAAGCATTTAAAGGATGAATTTACAATTACTTGTTTTGGCCAAAAAATTAGGGTGGGACTGACATGAGCAACTTCCAAAGTCTATCCTAATTGAAAAGTAGTTGGTAGACAAATTCCTTAATTTGATGTTTAAGGGCCTAAAAATGTAGCTCCTACTTAATTTCTCAGTCTCATCTCAATCAAACTCTACTCACTAAGCTAACGACCCACGTTTACTTCATAGCCGTAAATGCTACACAAAGAAAAACAGGGTGGGCCTCCCTCATGGCGCAGGTGGTTGAACGCAGTCTGGATAGCTGTTCATAGCCTCTGCAGCGCAGGTTCGATCCTGGCCAGCCGGGGAGCTACCCACATGGCACGGCAGACCTCTCCTGTCTTGCCCGCTGCTCCCCTCAGCAGTGTATTTCAGTCAGTCTACCTGTTCTGTTCCCCACTCTGTCTCTGGAGAATCCTCTCACCCTCCCACACTTCTGGCCTGTACCCCAGTTCTTGTATGCATAAACAAAATAAATAAATCTTTACAAAAAAAAAGAAAAACAGGGAGAATTTTGGTCAGATGAGACTAGGAAATGCTCTTTGAGACAAAGTAATATGGACATTGTTGGCAGAGGGTTTCTAGAAATTTTATTGAGTTCCTGGGCTTTGCAAAATTCCTAGAGGAGGATTTACTAGGCAGTACTTCCCAATCTTCTTATTCTAATCATTTTAGACTGTTCAACACTGTTGTGCTATGCAATCTACTTTCCTGTCACTTTTTCATTGTTCATACACTTCCCTCATGCCCAAAATCCACAGGCCCATCTTTGAACACCCAGTACAAAATTACCTCATTCTAGGAAACTTTTCCTAGTATTTTCCTTCACAAAACCGTCCCTTTTCTTTTTGAGCTTCTACTCTTCCCAAAGTCACTTTCACTTATTCTAGTAATCTTTCTAAGTTCAAACCTATTAAGACATTCATCTGCTTCCAACAGCACCCACCCTGGCTTTCAAGAAACAAAATCAATTATAGGCCATCAAAGTCTAAACCCTTCCTACATTTCTAGCCTCATCTACAATAAACTATCTACTCCTCAAAGATTTTACACTATTTCATGTCACCTTCCCATTATATATTTCCTCTATTCTTTGTTCAGTTAATCCCCTCTTGTTTTTCAAAACTCAGTTCAAATATCACCTACCTCCAGCAAGCATCTAGATAAAATTTATATGCTTTTCCTTTCTGCTTCCATTATACCTCAAGATAGCAGTTCTCAACCAGGGGACATTGTGGCCCACCTATGACAATGTGCTGAGACATATTTTCACTGTTACGATTGATTAGGGGTGGGGATGGGAATACTTCTGGTATCTAGGTGAACAGAGATGCTGGTAAACATCCTGCAATGCAAAGGTCAGCCCCCACAAAAAATGGTGACTGTGCCCAGGTTGAGACACTCTGTTGTAAGCACACAGTGTGGTAACACTTATCCACCTTATAACACTGATTTGGACTGCAAGTCTCTAAGATTAAGATTAAGCACCAGCCACTCTACATGGAGAATTTCCTATCTGCCATACACTGTTCTAAACAACAAACAGAGCAATCTCATGTAACCTTCAGGGAAAACTATGAGTAGGTACTATTTTCTTTCCTGCTTTGCAGACTAGAAGAGTGAGGTGAAGAGTATCCTTGGTCACACAGCAAAGAGAAAGTTCAGCTAGGAACAATCTGACTTCATAACCCACCATTCCATTTTCCTCCCAAGATATTTCTACCAGGCAAAAATAATATCTTTCTTTTCATGAAGGTCCAAGTATTCTTCTTCTAAGTATCACTAAACTAAATTCTTTAATCATCAGTGCCAAGAACAAGGATTCTCAACACTATTGATACTTTAGAACGAATAGTTCTTCGTTGGGAAATTGGGGGAGTCATCCTGTATAATGCAGACTGCTTTCTAGTATCCTTACCCTTTACCCACTAGATGCATGCAGCACCACCAGATAGCAGCCTGCCTATTATAATAATAAAAAATTTGTCTCCAGACAATGCCAAATGTCCCTTGGGGAGAACTCACCACTAATTTAGAACATGCTTTTAGAATAAGTGAATAAAATTTTAATACTTAAAGGTAAAAATCTATCCTAAGAGTAAGAAAGAATGAATAATTACCTTTTCAGCTAATTCTTCTGCTGTTATCTTTGGATCATACGGAATGGGATCACCTAAATAGGTACGTAATTTCACTGGAAAACCTCCATACATTGGAGCAAATGGATAGCGGAATTTTTCATAAAGCCACCTAAATAACCCTGTGTTAAAGTAAACAAAATCATTTTAATTGGTTAATAAATACTCAACAAACTGTAAACTTTCAACTAATTATGTAAAACATAGAAGATATCAAATAGTATCTCCTCTTCACAAATAATTATGTTTTTTTAAAAATGAGCTTTTTATCAATGGTAACAAATGTACAAAACTATTGCAAGATGTTACTAATAGGAGAAACTGGACATGATGAGGGGGTATCTAGGTCCTTTCTGAGCTTTCTGCTCAATTTTTTTGTAAACTTAGAAATGCTTTAAAGTTTAAAAAAAATGTGCTTTACAAATATGAGAATTAAAAATGGCAAATTAATTCCCATTATTGCAAAGCAAAGTGTAAAGACTACAACCAAAATTACACTAAAAAATCTAGAAACTCACAAATATGTGACTTACATGACTGAAAGAAAAAATGGAAGCATAAAATAAACTTACATAAAAATGAAACTAAAATGCACCAATAAACTAGGTAAAGACTATGAACATAATTATTATAAATTAGGGAAAACAAAAAGCAAAAAAAATTTAATGCTAATGACCAAATATAAAATTTAACAGGGTTAAAAAGTGGCAGTCAGTGTAAAATAAACTGATGAACTATGGTTAAGTTTTTCTTTTTAAAGAATTCAAAGAAATTAAAAAAAAATAAAACTAAGTTTTAAAAAAATGGAATTCAAAGAAGACAACATATCTATAAACTGCACTTAAACTTTAAAATACTTTCTACATATGAAACATAGAATATATCATAAAGCCCAAAGTAATACTCAAAAAAAAAATCACTAGATACTAATTTATGGTATTTTTCTACTTTTAAAGTCAAGAAAAGTCAAAAAGCAGTCAAAAGGGAATTTTAAAACAAGATTAGGAGTAATTTCTGATATGTGACAAATTCTAAAGAACTGATCTCAGAGAAAATTGTACAAAATAATTCTAGAACAGATGTTAAATATCACATCAATCCACCTTTCTACTTTAAATTTGAGAAAAAGAAAAAGCATGACTTAAAATAGTGGAATATCAACAACAGACCAACATTAGACAAAAGAAAGAAGTTTAAAGTGCTTTAGGAGGGAATTTGTATGTAGGTGAGAATATTAATGATACAATGCTAGGGATATAAAACATAATAATACATGAACCATGGGATGCACAAAACAAATAATGAAATTTCTAAAAGAAAAGGAAAACAACTGAGACATGACAACAAGAAAAGCATGCTCAAATGTTATCTCTTCTATAATGAGACTCAAAGTTTATTTTGCCATCAATAAATTGAAGGTAAACAAAAAGCACTGTTCAGTGTAAATATATCAAGATTCAAAATATTCTTTAAAAAACAAAGAAATAGAAAATAAAAAGTAACAAATAAAGCAAGTGATATCCATTGGTTGTTAATCTTAATTCAATATCACACTGCCATCCATTTTTTAAACTGTAATTTCTCCGGGGGTTAGAATACATATATTTATTCTCAACCTCAACAGCACAGTTTAACACAGTAAATTTGACAATTCATACTGCAATTTTATAAAGTCCATTATGGAAAAAAGTACATTCAGTATGCATATGAGACTCTTAAAACAATCCAACAACTAAGAACCACCATTGCTTAGAACCAGTTATCATTCAGACTTTAAACATCAATATATTCTATTATCTAAAGTAATAATTCAAAAGGATTCCTTACAGGGTCTCAAAGTCCAAATATTTAAAATATTATATTATAATTAGAAAAGTGATATGAATCAGAACTTACTTGTTCCTCCAAGTGATCTAAAGCCTTCTCGAATATTTTGTGTAAACATAGGAATAATGGGCTAAAGAGAATTTGAATTAAAAATAAATTAGTCCATGTAATAATATCTCTATGAGTCACTAATGCAAACTTCTGAGGGCCTGTTTATGAAAATAAGTTATCTTTAAAATAAAGGTATATTGGAGGGGGCAGGGAGAGGAAGGACTAAGGTCAAAATAAGGGGAGGGTGCAATTGTATGGGGAATATAAACAAAATGAAAATGCATACATTGTGCAAAAATGAAAAATGATGTAAGAATTATATAAAATAAAATATTAAAAATATTAATTGAGCATAAAAAAATAAAAAATAAATAAAATAAAGGTATATTTATCAGTGTGATTTATCAGATCACATGCAAAACTATAAATTGGAAACACTACCCTCTAGTGGTATTACATACATATTTCATTTATCAACTTTTCCTATCACTCCACATAAACCCTTAAACTCAAAATAAAGATTACAGTTATCATTAATTTCATTAAGTAAATGAATGTGGAAAATTAAATAGGTTTCTATGGGCTTTAGAATAGGGTGTTCAGTGAAGAAAAGGTTACAAGACAGTTGATCTCTCTACAAGGAAATTTACATACATTTAAAAGTCAGGTTTGGGAAAACGTCATAGTATTTTGAGAAACACCATTTTTTGTGAGTTTGCTATATCTAATAAAGTTCAACAACAATGAAATATGAATAAGACACACTGCAAAAAAAAAGGAAAAGCATATATATAAGAATTGCGTCATGAATTTTACCTGGTTTTTATTTTTCTATGAATATCAATGATAAAATACACTTTTTAAAAATAGAAACCTTAACTAAGTATCATTTTAAAAATGGATTGCAGCAAAGGACCACATAAGGAGATTATGCCACGTGAAACTTAAGTAGATAAAAATATTCAATAAAACACTTAAAAGTGTAAACAAAATATACTGAATTAAATGTTGTTTTAAAATACAGCAAAAAAGCCTGAAGAAGGTATCACTTAGAATCTATCATGAGTATTTCTCTAATACAGAATTACCTGCCTCAGTGAACAGGGTTTGACATATTTAAATAAGCTGACATTTAAAAGGCCATTCCTATGCAGCTTTGGAAAACAGTAAAATACAGAGGACAAAAGGGAAGAGGCTACAGGAATAGCTCTCTTCATAAAACTTATCACCATTAACATGTATATACACATATATATGATCAATGATTTATTTATTGCTTCTAGTCATCTGAAGGAAGAAACTCAATAGCAGGAACATTTTGTTCACTGTTCTACCCCCTGGAACCTAAAACAGTGCCTGGAATACACTAAGTGGCAAAAGAAAATGTAAAGGATGAATTACAGAAGGAATAAATAAACAGAACAGAGAAATAATACATCTAATGAATTAATTTGTATTCTCTGAATACAAAGGGTCAGAAATAGATAGTGGCAATCTTAAAATCAATTAGGAAAAAAAGAATTCAAGTTAAAGGAAACCAGTCAGATAAAGAATTTAACAAGTGACATATAAGACAAAGTACACTGACTTTTCTGGAAAAAAAAAAAAACAAAAAACTAGAGATTATGATCTAGGAAACCACCACCAGTTTCGTAAAATAAAATGATGGTTGAAATCTTAATGTCCTAAGTTATGTTTTTAGAGTTGGGAACTTAAAATGTCCAAGAAGGAGCAGAAACCTTTCAACACACACACATATCCACACCCTATCTTGCCTTCTTTGATCACTTATGCTACAAATGTCTACTAGTGAGCATGAGGCTTGAATTCTGTATTGCAGTATGCACTTCATAAACTTCATAAAGACTTTCCAGATTACACATCATCCTTTAAAAAACAGATCCAGAACCTAGAAGGTAGTAAAGGAGAAAGCTTACCCTAGTTGGTTCTGTTTTGCAGGCTACTCTCTGGGCATATGGTTTCTAAGTTTGCATTCAAGCTTATAGTCTTAAAGCTACAAGCATGACCTTGTCATAACATGATACTATAGAATAATTATACATTCCTTTACTTATACATACTTCATATACAAGCTAGCATTGAACTGTTTACATGTACATGTGTCTCTGTATGTGTGTGTATGTGCATAGATGTGTGCAAGAGATAGAATGTTTATTTTCTTAAAACTACTCTTAGGAGAATACTTTATATACTTTATATACTTTATATACTTTAAATACTTTATATACTTTAATACGGTCTTGGAGTCTTTGCCACTAAAAAGAAAAAGAACTATTAGAAAAGATACTTATCCTGTCTAAGGTTCAGTTTCTTCATATATAAAATGACAATAATAATTATTCTATCAAAGTTTTTTTAAGATTAAGATAATACATAAACAATTTTATTGAAACACTTTTTTTTTACATCTGTTATATTAGAGTAAATGGGCTATTTTTCCCATAACTTATTAGTTATGAAGTTACCTAAAAATTCTCATAAAAGTTGTAATTCTCAAAAATTCAGAAAATGAGTAATTTAAGTTATATAAATTTATATTATCCATAACTTTCAAATGAATCTTAAATATTTTCTACCAATATTTTACAAACTTGAATTAATAGCCTATTCTTTTTTCCTATTATCACATCACAATCTAAATGTTAGTTCTGGACAGTGCAAAATTTTTACTCGAAGTTCATAATAATTCTGTGAGGCCTATGAACGGATTTTCCAGATATATTATCTGTGCAATTTACAACTATATCCATAAATAAGTGAAAAATTTCTCTCATGTATCTGGAAGGCCCTCTAATCTTCAGGTCAGCGGACTCACTGTGAAATGCAGTCAGGGATGGCAACTGCACCGGCTGCCTGCAGTTCTGAACTGTATGCTCTGCTCTGCTTCTGCCTTGCTGTATGACCCGGTCCCTCCAGCCCTTCATCTCTCTGTGCCTGAGTTTCCTCATCTGTAACATTGGAATAATTACATATGTCACCTACTTACTATACAGGAGTACCAACAAAAGTCTTCAAAAACACTACAAAAGGCTGGGGTTGTAGAGTATTTATCAAATTTATGCTATGTTATAAATAAGCAATTTAAAAAAATTTTGCTTGTTTTTAAACTTGTAAAAGGCTGTTTTCTCAAATTCTGAACACAAAAATCTTAAATTATCTAGATTATCTAAATTGATTATATAGGAACTCTTCCATGGATAGGAAAAAGAGTTACTTTCTCTATATAATAATTTTGCCTTTCAGGCAATCTTCCAGACAATGTTCATTAAAACTGTAAACTTAGGGATAAGGAATTACAATCTCATGATCAATTTGAGATTCCAAATATACTTTTGTCACTTTTATCTTAAACCTTAGGAGATATAATTCTTTTAAAATATAATCCTAAAAACTAAATTATCTTTGACTAGGTTTTTATCAGTGTTTTAATATGTATTACATTGATTATACTTAACTTTTGTATAAATGTACAAATATCCTTTTGTACTCTTACTCTATATTATTCAGAGTTGAAGGTTTTGTTTTCTACACCAGTGCTTAAAACATTTTAGAAAATGAAGTGTTCTTTATATGAGTATTCTATGTCACTATTAACATAAAATTAAATTCAAAAGGCTCCTTTCCAGAAGTATTTAACATGTACTATAAAAAATTAACCCAATTCAACAAATATAGCTTAGCAAATACAAGTCATTGTTCTAGGGATGCAGAACATAATTAGATGGCCTTGTCTTTAGGAAATTTATAATACACTATAGGACAGTCATGTTCAAGTTCTTATGTTGTCTATTATGAAATACTTGGACAAGCACACTGACCCTTACACTAGGATCACATTATTAAAGCACTATGGCAATAATGTATTTCTAGGAGTAATGTATACATATGTACAGGAGAGAATAGAACTCCATGGATTTTACTTTATTGGAACTTTACAACTAAAAAATAAAGAGAAAATTTCCATTCTTCTTCAAATACTGATCTTGGATTGGAATGAGTCATCAATAATCTTTTCCTTTTTAATCAACAATCTATATTTGCAAGATGAACAGGCAAGTTAAAGGGTGCAGACTGGTCTCTTTATTTGGCAGCAGTGAGTATACAAAAATACTGAAATGTCAAAGTACTAGCAGCAGCCTCTAACTAATTGGTGTGAGAAAAGAATACCACCTTGTCAAAGGCAGTATGAGTTCTTTTTATGACAGACAATCTAAAATGAAAATAAAAAGAAAACAAAGAAGAAACATTCCATAAGTAATAAATGTTTCATAGGACCAAGCACAATACAGAGACCAAAAATGGAAATACTTTTCCAAAGCAAAAGAACAAATGGCATTCACATTCTCCAGTATACTAAGTATAATTAACTATGGTGAATTCCAGAGGAATACTTAATTTTATTGACAAACACATTTGCAAAAAGTCTTTATAAAAGGTCTACAGGACACTAATATCTATTTCTCCTCTTCATTCATCCTGCTAGCTGATCACATTTGTTGAAAAAAATTATAGGAGTCATATATTATTTGATTTTTATTGTAATTGGTCACAGAAAAAAGAACTGTAATGAAACCAAACAACAACCATCACTGAAACACACCAATCAATTGTACCAAAAGATCAAGATATACAGAACTGGACTGATTATACTTACGAAAAAAGTATAACTGAAGAAATACAAAGAATTTTATAAATCAAAAAAGGCCAGATTTTCAAATGTAAAAATAAAACTTTGCTAAATATTTGCCAATTTATTGCTTTTAAGGTTGATTTCTTTGTTAAGATGGCTTCCATGACCAAGGAAATTTTTCTATGCTACCTTTTAAGCGTTAGATACATGGATTTTTAAAGTAATGTAATGTAATGTCTAAATTCTTATTTACTTTGGCTCACTATTTAAGTATCTATTTTCAAATCAACCTAGCTTTACTTTAATAATTAGGTTTACACAACTCACCACTTTTGCATCAATTGCAACCTGAGCGAAGCCTTTACGATTACCCCATATGATGTTGTAGGTTTCATCACTAATTAGGGCTTCTCGAACTCCACCTGGTGAAATAGCTAACAAGTGACCACTTCTCAGAATTTCAACACATTTTTCTCTTGGTCCATGTAGAGCACAAAATACATCAAGTAATAAACTAAACCCTGTAAGAAACATTAGCATGAAGATACATCTTAAGTACTTCTTGTCCAATTCTTCAAGAGTAGTAATGTTTACAACCTATATAATTTGCAGTGTATACTTAAATCAGTACATTTTTACTTCTTTTCAATTAACAAGAACACTTAAAATTAATATAGGATAAATACTGCTAGTGAAGCAATAGCTATATCTTATTGATCACCTACTATTCTGGCTACTTTACATGTTCAAACTCTTAATTAAAACCCACAAAATCCTTGAAAGACAGGGATTCTTTACCCCATTTTAGAGATGAGGAAAGCTAACTCAAAAATAAGCAGCTTGCTCAAAGTCACACATTCAGCAAATGGCAGGGCAGAGCTTCCAGTCCAGGTATGTCTAGTGCACAGCTATTTCTACAGTATCGCATAGCCAAAGACTGTCTACAACATTTATTAGAGCAATCAGAAATCACCTCTTATCAGTAATCACAAATCTAACCTCACCTTAACCCTTAATATGAGAATGTGCATCTAACTATACTTAGTCCTACCAAAATTAGTAAGCCAAAATCAAATTGACTGAAATTAAAAGTCAGAGGTTGCTTTTAAAAAATCATTAATAGCAAAATAATTGAGTTTTTAATAAAGCAAGTGCTTGATTTAGGAACAGCTAATTCTGAATATTAATATTATACAGTTTTTCAAATTACAACTATTTATGGATAAAAGAAATAATCTTATCAGCAATTAAATATTTTACCCAACCCTAAACTCAAACATCAGAGGACTAATGCTCATTCACCTCATTTCTTGAGACTGGGAAATATGGGGATGGATAGTGAAAACTGGGCAGATTAATCAAACTTCTTGTGAGGATCTGAAGCAAGATCTGAAGCAAGATCATAAGTGTTAAGACTAAAATAACTTTCATCTCACACTACATTAAAAGCTCACTAATTTAGTAAATGTATTCTCATAATAAATGTATGAACGGGGGGAGCTTAAAAAACTACAAGACCATAAAGAAGGAAAAACATTAAAAGCCAAATGCTAAGTAAAACTTTTCACATTCTATTATTTACTTTTTGAAAATAGGAAGCAACCTAACATTCCATAAGAAAAAACCACTTAGGTAAATATTTCAGTCATCCATTAAAATTACTCCTCATAAAACATGGTAAAATGTTAATGCTACCATTATTTTTTTTTTAAAATGAATAAAATAATTTGCATTATATGTGAAAATATGCAAATTAAAATGAAGTAAAATAAATCAAAATAACTGTTATTTCCCAAATTTATTATAAAGTGAATTTACTTTCTAAAGAAAAGCCCTTTATAGCCAATTTAGTTTATACACAAAGTTACACATAGCATTAATCATGTCTATAAAAGGCTTTGAGATTGTTTAATGCACTGTTTGTTGTTTGTCTGTCTAGTTAATGGGTGGGTTTCGCTTTAATTATTAAAGGGAACATACTGGCTTGTTTCTGGAGACTGGTGCAGAGGAAAATAAGATTTGATCTTAATGATATTATTTCAGAATTTTTTTCTAAACCTTTTTTAAAACTCTATTGTGCTTAAACCATTTACTTAATCTTTTTGAAAAGGTACAAAGCCTTTATGAAAAGATTACAAATATAGTGCTCAATTTTAAGAGTTATAAGTTCACTAATCAAGTCAAGTATAAGAGACATAATAAATTCTTTAGGGTAGGATATCTTAGGCAATGCTATATTCTTATGTAAGACAATAAATGCTAATTTTTTTTTTACTAATTTTGATCTGCCACCAAAATGACAGTAATCAGACTCTAATTACAGTAAAATTAAACTCCAAAAATAAATAGTTCATGGAAAAACTTATGCAAAATCAACCTTCTATAACAAAATATAAAAACATTGTTTGGCAAAAGTTACATTTTTAAAAAGGGGAAGTTCAAGATTTAAATTGGAAATATAAATGCTTGTTAATAAAGGGGCCTCCCTGGTGGCACAGCGGCTAAGTCTCAGCACTATAAAGCTATCCCCAGCCACTGTGGCATGAGGGCATGAGTTGGATCCTGGCCAGGGAGCTAATCCACATGGTGCAGCAGACCTCTGTCTTGCCCACTGCTCCCCTCAGCAGTGTATTCCAGTAGATCCATCTGTTCTGCTCCCCACTCTGTCTCTGGTGATCCTCTCACCACCCACACCTCTGGCCTATACCCCAGTTCTTCTATGCATAAATAAATAAAATAAATCTTTAAAAAAAAAAAAAGAATTAACAAGGATTTATTATGACATTTTTTTGCCATACTATTTTATATTTAGATATATTACCTAAACAGGATAATTAAATATTCCCAAATTGGAGTTCTAAGTATGTGACCCTGAAAAAGACAAATGCCTTTCCCAAATGTTATCATAAAGAGCTCAAAGATATAAAATCGAGCTCAAGATATAAGCTCAAAGATATAAAATCACATAATTTGTAAGATAAACATTTTAAACTCTATCAATGATTAATGTTTACCTGGAATTTTAAAGACAAAGTGATCAGCTACCACTCGGCAAGTTCTGCCCTTGTGGATAAAAATTTTAGCCATGAAGTAGTAAAAATCTATGGGGATAGCTCCATGATAAAAAATTATAAGTGCCGGCCCTTCTTCTGGTATTTTTTCCATCCCATGAACTTCATAACCTGTTAGAAACACAAAATTCACATATTTAAATATATTCATTACTTAATTTATATTAAAGAGTGGTTACTAATACAAAAATTCAAATCTTTTCTTATATTAGTGCAGGCTAGGATTGAATGTAGGATCCCTAAGAAGCCCAGAAATGAACAAGAGTCCATACTCACTCACTAGCTTTCCTCCATGTTCCTTTCGGGTACTCACAATTAGCAGCAAGGCAGGCAAGAGACCCATGCGAGCCTCTGCTAACAGTACAGAGAACAAAACCCCACTGGCTTCCTGTAAGCTTCTTTTGTACTGGAAAATCTGACACTGGAGATAAGGGAAATCCTCCAACCCTTCTAAGAAAAGGGTAGATACAAAAAGCATCTGATGGGACAGAGCTCTACTCTCCAAACCCTTTCCCTGCATGGCCCCAACATCCCTGACTGAGGCAAAAGCCCACTATGTTAAAGAAGAGTAGAAGCCAACACATTTGTTCAAGAAGTTGGAGGTAAATCCAGGGCCCTGAAATGACATAAAGCATGCTCCCATTAGGAGGAAAAGCAGGAAACTTGCCCACAACCCCAAATCCCTACCTAAACAGGCCAAAGTCTCTCTGCCACCAGAAAGAGAAAAAGGACATTGAGAAAATCTCACTCCCAAGTCCCAGAAATACAAGGCTAATAAAATTTTAGCTAAACCAGGAAAATCAAGGAATGCCCCCACCACTCTCATCCCCCCCATAAGTATCACATGGAGCTACAAAGGCAACCTTTTCCTGGGAGAAGAGCAGGAGATAAGGATAAGAGAGATTCTTTCCAAGGCACAGGTATGCAAGATTAAGGTTAGAACAAGAATGCCAAGAAAAACCTTCCAGCACTCCAAGATCCTGTGCAAGGTAGGATTTAAGTCTGTGCTGAACCGAAGGTAACTTACAACAAAACCCAAACCCAATTCAATTAGTGAGTTGAATTAATTAACCCTCACCACACTGACACTCACTAGCGGTCTCACAGAGAAGGACCAATTTTCTGTTGCAAATACTACGTACTTCAGTCTCTATTCTCTTACAATGTCTTGAATTTAACTGAAAACTAAAATCACTATAGAACATATAAAACAGCTACCAAAACCAATGCTCTGTCAAGAGACTGTTTAATCAAATGAAAGAAATCCAAATGTTTACATTCTCAAACAGTAACTTTAAAATAACTATGTGTAGTACATTCAAGGATCTAGTTGAAAAAGTGGACACATGCATAATCAGATTAGAAATTTCAGCCAATAGGAGGAAAATAATCATATTATACGTGCTTCACATAATAGTTGGAATATTATTTTTTAAGTTTATGAATAGAAACAACAATTGTATTGTCTTCTATAAGAAAATCATGCAGGAACAGAGAATCATAGAATCCTTAAGGTAGAACCTTCAGGTTCCAACTGAAAAGACAACATTAGAACTTGGACTATTTGGGGTTGTTAATCGAGGATATCCAAAGAGTCACACATGTCTGAAATATCAGGTACACTTTATTGAATCTGCTAGTTTCTAAGAAAGACTCAGGACCCTTCCATGTAAGCTTGATAGAGAGCAGGTCTATAGAGTATAAGATTCCACTGCTTATAGCAGGTTGTGAGTAAATGAACAGAGAATTGAACAGAGAAAAAGGAGTAGATGAAAAGGGAAGGAAAGCGAAGGGTAGAAGATAACAATTGACACAACCATTCCTAACACAACCTAAAATAAAATTTAGCACTCAAAAAATAATTCATTAATAAAAATACAAAAATTTCTTAACTAGTGACTCAAAGCAAAAAAACTTATATACAAATGGATAATTTAATAATGCTGCAAAATTTTATTTTATTCACAAATGTAAAGCATTTATATATTTTATTTTTGATTATTACATCATATATTATATATCTTATACATAAGTTTTATTATATATAAAACAATATACACACATAAGGCATTTATATATGTATACATATGAATTCTTTAGAAATTTCTCCCATTCTATTCATAAAAAACAAAAGGGATTTCTGGGCCTCCCCGGTGGCACAGCGGTTGAGCGCTGGGTTGCGAAGCTGCCCACAGCCTCTACAGCACCGGTTCAATCCCCGGCTGCTCCCCGGCCACCGGAGGAGGGTCCCACATGGCGCACAGACCTCTCCTGCCGCCCGCTGCTCCCCTCAGCAGTGTACTTCGGTCCTTCTACCTGTTCTGCTCCCTGCTCTGGTTCTAGTGAATTCTCTCACCCTCCCGTGCTTCTGACTGTACCCAGTGCTTGAATAAATAAATAAATAAATAAATAAATAAATAAATAAATAAATAAATCTTTAAAAAGGGGGGGATTTCATTGACTCTAACCACTTACTACAAGTGGGGAACAAATTGTCATCAGAGATTTGAACTGGATGTCAAGGCAACATGTCTCCTGTAGAGTGATTAGAATTCATGTAGTTTCTTACCAATCCTTCCTGCCACAATGTAAACCCTACTTTAAGTGTCTGGAAAGAAGAACAAGAGTTTAAGCAAGAGGAACAAATGACAGGGTGAAAGGGTGGTGGAAATGGGAAAGGAGATGATTTCTCTAGGTTTACTACTAACTTAATCGCAGTTCAAGACTGGCTTCCAGCCCACCTTTTCTTTCTCTCCGACCAGTTAAAAAGATAAACATGTCTACTGTCCTTCATATTGCTACTAACTGCCAAGTCATTTTTTCACAGTAATCTTTCATTGCTGGTAGATTGTGAGAAATAGCTCCACCCAAGCCTTAGCAGAAAATACCCTAGGTATTTTTACCACAGGACTGAGAACAGACAACATGAGCAGATAAAATGTGATCATCTCTCTAGTTGTAAGAACTGCTTTCCCTTCCCATCTCACCACTCTGTCATACCATCATAGATGAAGGCCTCAGTTTGTGCTGGCAAAAAAAAGAAAAAGAAAAAAAAGCAAGTGTTCAGAGACCAAGGACAGAATTAGGCTCAAAAAAATAAAGGGAAGAGTAAAAAGGAAGAAATTTTGAGTGCCAATACCAATAATAGATAAAGAAATTTCTAAGGCCAGACTGCCCAACAATGTCTCAAGAGGGTCTGCTACTAACATGTCAGAGATAAAAGTCCAGGATATGGAAATCTCAAACTATCAATCTGTTCATTTCTTTAAGTTTATACCTTTTTGATTCACTAACAAACAAGAATTCAAACAATAATGGATTCAGTCTAAATTTTAAAATGGTATATTCATTCATTAGATAGGTTATAATATCTTCATTAAACTGATAAAGTTAACAGATTAAATTAGGTGTAATGACTGTAATTGTAGTGTTGAAGGAATAAACCACTTGATAATATTTTAAATGGACTCAAGACAATGCTCATAAAAATTAAATTTACTGATATTTCAAGATTTTATGTGTTTACATAGTTTCAACATTTCTTAACAATTACCTAATTCTACTTCAAGTAATTTAATGTAAATTAACACTATAATCACTGAGGTAATTACCAAAAGGAACAACTGTCTCATTGATAAAATTTTCTAAGAAATAGAAAATACTTCTTTGAGAGATTCTGCATATGTACCATGCACTTAACCAATACACACTGAAGCAAAGAAAAGCATGCTTTTCTTTGAGGGATTATATTAATATACAGAATATTCCTAAGGTTCTTCTTGCTTTCCAGAACATTAAAAAAAATTTTAAATAATAATAAACTTTCAACAAATTGAGTATAGAAGAAACATATATCACCTCAAATAACAAAGTCATAAACTAAAAATCTATAATCAATTATTATATTCTATGGTAAAAACTGAGTATTTTCCCTTTTTCCTTTAAGATCAGAAACAAACCAAGGTTGTCCACCTTCACCACTTTCATCTAATTTAATATTAAAGGTATTAGCCAGGGCAATTAGATAATAATAAATCAAAGGAATTCAGGCTAGAAAATAAGAAAATTTTCATTAATTATAGATAACATAATATATACAGAAAACCCCAAAGACTCCACCAAAAACTATTAGAAACAGTAAATGAATACTGTAAGGTAACAGGCTACAAACAATAGAGAAGAATCTGCTGCATTTCTACATGCAAATAACAAGCAAAAAGAAAAAGAAATTAAGAAACAATACTATTTAAAATCACATCAAAAAGATTTAAATACTGAAGAGAAATTTAACAAAGGAGATGAAAGATACAATGAAAACTGTAAGACACTACTGAAAAATATATAGCAAGAAATAAAAAGATGGAAAGATATCCTATATTCATGGATGAGGAGAATAATTAAAATAAAAATGATCATCCTACCAAAAGAAATATAGAGATTCAAAGTAATCCTATCAATATTCCAATGGTACTTTTCAAGGAAATGGAATTTAAAAGTGTCAAAATTTATATGGAATGACAAAAGACCCTTCAGAATAGATAAGCAAATCTGAGAAAAAAGAAAACTGGAGATATTATGTTACCAAATTTAAACTGCAATAATACTCAGAAGAGTATGGTATTAGAATAAAAACATACACACAGATCAATGAAACAGAATCAAGAGCCAAAAAAAAAAAATGATCCACTTATTTCAACACCTAATTTATGACAAAGGAGCTAAAACCATACAATAGAGAAAAGAGAGTCTTTTCAACAAATGATGCTAGCAAAACCGGATGAATGGGCCTCCCTGGTGGCACAGCTGGCTGCGCAGCGCAGCGCTGTGAAGCTGGAGGCAGCCTCTGCAGCGCGGGTTCCATTCCAGGCTGGCCAGGGAGATTCCCACATGTCGTGACAGACCTCTCCTGTTGCACCCGCTGGCCCCCTTAGCAGTGTATTTCGGTCATCTGCCTGTTCTGCTCCCCGCTCTGTCTCTAGTGAATCCTGTCACCCTCCCGTGCCTCTGGCCTGTACCCCAGCTCTTGTGTAAAAATAAAAAAATCTTTAAAAAAAAAACGAAACTGGATGAACACGTGTAAAAGAATAAAACTGGATCTTACTCTACACACA